GTGCACACACCTTTCATAGCCCTTTGAGACACACTGTGCAGTTCCTGGGAAACCTCTCCCACTGCGCTATGTCTCTGCATGGGGATTCTTCCTGCTGGAGTCTACATGGTTTATTTTTTCTTTTGTATTTTATTTTATTTTTTTGTCCTGGAAAAATAAATCATCCTTTTAAAGTTTTACATTTCTTCTCAGGCCAAAAGCCAGTGACCTCTTTTGCTTGCTTTAAAATGTTATCATGTTTTATAATTTTACTCTTTATCTTTTGTTTTCTCTCGGAAAAACTGTTTTAAGATGAAGACAATATCTGTTAGAAGTAATCATTCTTGTTGCTGTTTATCCAACATAATTCTCTCCTTGACCCAGTTTTGGCACCAAGAGAGATTTTTATTGTCTGTCTTGATAATATTCTGTATAAACGCATGTATTTGAAACTGCCTCGGTGCACAGATTTTGTACCACTGCCCTGTGTGACATGATGTGTGTCTTGCATACTGCAATAAATCCTGATTGACCTTTCACGGAGTACTTTTTGTTCTTGGATCTCATGTTTCTGTTCAGGTAAAACAAAGATTTCCACGACATTTTTTGTTTGCTTGTTTTTGTTGTTTTTTGTGCAAAACAAGCTTATTTCAATGGTTTAAGTTTAAGRTTAAAATTAAATGTTGCAAAAAGTAGCTCTTGGACAATTTCATTTTGTGAAAGTAGCTCTTAAGGGAAAAAAAGGTTGGCGACCCCTGYTCTAAAGGGACACTTTTTATGTTACGAAATTGGGTAAACTGCTCCTTTTTTAACAGTTGGCAAATCWTTCTTCCGTACCATATGGGCAATAAAACAATGGGTGATTCAGATGTTGTTATTTTGRTCTACATTGAAACAACTGAGCTATCACTCAGATGTAAAAAAAAAAAAACTACGACACACGGATTAACTGATGACTGAAAGGATGACATTCAAACACACTTTCTTTATGTTTGTCAAGATAGATCATTTGTCAATCGCAAGTCAAAGTCAAACACACACATTTACAAAGCAGCACCGAGAAAAATACAAGCTTGTCGATCCATAAAGCTGTCTGGCAGAGATGAAAACAAGCCCAGTTTTTCTGCATCAGCACTTCTACAAATAATGTCAAATTACACAGCAGCTTGCCTGTCGCCGGCTTTAACCGCAGAATAAACCACCCAGAAACAGCCCCCCTGAACTTACACAACATTTGCGTTTTTTCCCCCTCCGTGACAAACGTCAAAACTAATCACACACAAACACGCAAACATCCTCTCTCCGTAAAATGTCTGTTACCTTGATAACACGCAGGATGCAGATGAGAGTGTGTCCT